GGGAGGAAGTTGGGGGGGGTCTCAGGAGTGGGCAGTTGGGGACAAGGAGAAGGGAGGCTTAGATAGGGGGTGGGATCCTGGGGGGGCAGTTAGGGGCAGGGGTCCCAGGAGGGGATGATCAGGGGACAGGGAGCAGGAGGGGTTGGGGTTTCTGTGGGGGGCAGTCGGAGGGAGTGGATGGGGGCAGGGTGGGGCTACCCTCCCTCCCCGTGGAGTGTCCTATTTTTTGAATGTTAAAATATGGTATCCCTACTCACAGTGCAGCTCTCCATTCACTGCAGCATGAGGCCTCAGCTACCTCACACTCCCTCCCCCTCTTTCCTGTTGGTAGAGGCCAAGGGAATGCTGGGAAATGTAGTTCTTTCCCTGCTCCAGGGCTGGCTCTATAGGCAGGGAGCTAACCAAGGAACTACAGCTCCCAGGACCCCCTGTTGGTTCTCAGCTCCCATGCTGGATCCCTGCCGCCCCTGCAAATGGGCTGGCCCAAGCACGTGCTTGCTTTGCTGGTGCCTAGAGCCGCCCCTGTCCACAGGCAACACTCACACTGAAGTCCTGGTGACAATGGAAGTTTTTGCCAGTAAATTCTATAGTGTAATGGCAGTAAAGGAGACCCCTCTATAAAACTTGCCTGCAAGTTGCAGTAGCCAACTTAATTAAGATCTCTGTTCCATGAGCAGTGGTGGGTAATAAAGAGCAAGATATCAGGATGTATTAAAAACAATAGAGATTAAATGAAAACTGTAATGTCATTATCTAAATCAATGGCATGTCCTCACCTTGAACAACCTAGTACTACCAGCATCAAAAGATGTATTTTCAATTTTGTGCTCCTGAGATCCCCTATACTGTTCATTGACTGAGGTCCAAGCTCTTCTCTATTGCTGTCGTTTACTTACTAGATATTTTTATTTAATTATTTATTTAATGTTGCTAATTGCATACAGGATTTAAATCAGGGGTAGACGGTGAGACAGTAGAGATCCTACCAGGGTTTGCAGGTTGGACAGACAGATATTAGCTCCTACTCTGGGTGCTTTGTGCCACTCAAATGAAGCCAGAAAACCAGCTTAATTGGCTAGCAGAAAATTTCCCTTGCATAAGGGGAATGCTCACATGGTATACAGCTGGTGTAGTCCCATGGTCTGGCAAGCATGACTAGATAAATAGGAATGTGACCAAGGCCCCATTAATCTAGCTGTTCCTTGCTGCCAGATTGGCCCTGAGTGCTGTGGGCACCTGGACATAAATTAGTGCGGCCTCCAGGTTGCCACTAGTCTAGCATATGTGATTAATCCGACTAGGGCTGGGCCTAGCATCTTGGTGCCACAAAAGCAGCTTAGATCCACCCGTTCTACATTGGTGAGACACTACTCTGAATCTGGGCCACAATCTTCATAGAACCATAAAATCATTGCTTTTAAGAATAGAATAGCTGTTACGGGTCATTTTGTTCATCTCTTTGAATCAGAACAGTATAGTTTCTCTATGTCTCTAATAGGTAATTAGATTTACTGTCAAGAAGTTATTGGATATGGCTATGGACAATGAGAGCATTCAAGCACACATGCTCAATGGAGAGGCAAAAGAAGTACATCCTTAACTCTGGTGACTGAATGATAAACATCCCATTTGATGACCATCAGATCTGATTAGGGCTTAACAAACGTCACTAGGAGTCTGGCCTGTCGAAAAGGCTGCAGGACACTGTACACTGTGTATTTATAATCTGAAGCATAAAAGGAGAGTGAATAGAGTTAAATTCATTTCTTCCTTACAGAAGCAGGTACAATTCTCGTTGGCTTAAATAAGAGTTGTACTTAACTTCTGCAAGGGCTGAATTTGTTATATGCTATATGGGTAAACTACACTGAAAGTATCATTTAAAAAAAGACTGGAGAACTTTTAGCTGTTTGCTTTGTAATGTAGATTCAAATTGGGTATTTGAGTAGAATAGGAATAATAGGCTATATATTATCTGTCTTACATATGTACATAGGATTTGAGTCACACTTGCTAGTACAAATGGTGTAAATGCAAATTTTACTTTCCTGTGCCAGCAACAGTCTCTACACCAAGAGGGAATTCACCCCTGTAGAAAGACAAGCAGTGTTTATACCACCAATATCTCCTTAAGGTACTGCCAGGGGAGTGCTCCTTTAAATTACCAGTGGGGTTCTATAGAAGGCTCTCCATCAAGTTTCCCTAATAAGGTCACTGAATCAGCACATTCCCCAGGAGGTCATGGCCATAACCCAACTTGCTAGCATTACCCACTGGCAGTGGATAACGTATATAAGTCTCAAGTTTGAAAACATACCACAGGA